ATTTTTGCTGTCGGGATTTTTTTGTCGGGATTATGACCTGTCGGGATTTCGCTTGTCGGGATTTTGACCCAAACCCGAATTTTTATATCCAGTTAAGATAGATTTTTCATATGTGTCTAATTCTTTGCTGTAATTTTCCATTAAAGTAAATATTCATCGCAGTAAATGCCAAATTTTTATTTATTCATTTGGACTACAATAGAAGTAAATTTGGCAAGGAAAAAAGTAGTAGTTGAGGCAAATATTTGAAAATAACATAAAAGAAATCAACAATCCCATTTATTATACTCTTCAATTTAATTTTTTTTAAATTTAGAGTACTTTCTAGACGTATACATTAATTGACAATCTATATAACCAACAAAGAATTATTGTCCGAATGACATTATGGTAGAGTCAGAATAGAATTTGTGTCCGCAAATTATGAATTTTGATTGCTGGTCGACTGATCCGTGATCTATATTCATTGTTTCAATCAGCCAATCAAATTCCTTCGTATTTAAATGGTCACCATTTACCTAATAATTTGAGGGATTTGGATCAGATTTTATCAGTTTTAGTGGCAAAGTCAATAAAAAAATTAGCCTAGAGTTAAAGGCATATTGTGATATTTGAACTGAATATCTTTCATTCTTAAGATGCATGGAAAACATAAAAGATGAAGTTCTAGGAGATAATTGCAAATTAGGACGGCAATTTATGAAATTAAGCTAAAATTCGGTTATCAAATCTGAGTATTTGGTTCCCAATTTTAAATTTTAGTTACCAAATTACCCAAATTACATATCAATAAATCAATGCTAAACCCTGAAATTTTTTTTTGAGCCTCAGTTATTTAAATTTTACAAAATTTGACAAAGTTTGGGGTATTTCATACATTCACCGCAATGCAATATCGTTAAAGCAGAAAAAACATGAAATTTATGGTGCTTACCATATTTGCACCAGAAATCCTGAATGAAGTGATACATAATGACACCATATATTTATTCATTTAGAATAGTTATGTGGGAAATTTTATATGGCAGACCTGTTTCATATATTCACTCAAAATTTCTTAAAAGATTATTTATGTTAGGGTGACGTTTATATTAGGGTTAGAGGTAAGTAGGATATACAGTAAATTTGATCAAAAGAAAACTTTTGTTAGAGTAAGAAAGGTAATTTCTTATGTGTGTGTGTGTGTGTGTTTTTTTTTTTTTTTTGATAAATACCCAATTGTTTCTTTAAAAACAGCTGTAAAATCGAGAATCTGTCGTGACGAATTGGTGCGGCAGCTAGGTTTATTTTTTATGCTTCGCCGCTTACAACACTAAGCTAACTTTTGAGACACCTAAAAGCAGGCCTACCGAAAAATTAATTTTTTCAATTAATTTTTGCCATACATCATACAATTAAAATCAATTAAAATTAATGACGAAATAATTGCAATTAATTGACCAATTGTGACTGCGTCGTCAATCAATTAATTGAGTTCGAAAAATTGCAATTAATTACCCCTAAAATCAATTATTCGGTAGGCCTGCCTAAAAGTATCCATGTTGATGATAAATTTTACCCTGTAATTTGCGTTGACAAATTGGTGGCTTGCTTTGTAATATGAATACGTAATACTTACGAGATATTTATATTGCATCATTAAAATTTAATTGCATATCGCTTTTTTTCCTTGAAACTGTTGACTTATTAGTTTTATTTGAAATTTCCACATAGGACTTCATTATATATACATTTATACCTGGTTAGTTCATGCTCTGATATACGAAAATGACAGAACTTGAAAAACAAGCTCAAAGTCACGATGAAATTGAACCACAGCCATTTACCTCTGAAGAATTAAAGGAAATAAGGTAAACAAATTGAAAAACAAAATCGTGATTCAATATTTCTTTATTTTTAATTTTATATGCTTTTTTGTTTTTATATAAAATCAGAGGTTCTTAAAATTTTTCTTTATTTACTAAAAAACGTGCCTATACTAATTAATTTCTTATTAAGATATTGAAATCACATTTGGAGGCACGTACTGGAGAACAAGTCTTTCTTTGATCGTATTCTCATTTTTAATTCTCAAAATTTTCGATCATAAATTCTTCCAAATTGGTCTTTTATTTGCTTCGCTTAGCATTGCATTGTTATTAATCGGTGCCCATAGAAGGCGAAAATATTTGAAACAAATGAGAGAAAGTTCGAAGCCATTTGTTACTAGTGGAGGATATGTGCTTCTCGTTGGAATTATTTTTATGTCAGCTTATGTTATTATGATAGTGATGGTTGCAACGATGAAAAAAAAATAATGTATATTATGCTTTATCTATTAAGGATTTAATTAAAGATATATAAAGTATGTGTTATTATGCATTTAAATTTAATCTTATATTAATAGTTGGAGAAAAGCTAATATTTCTAAATAAATAAACGGCTGCTTTTAAATCTACTAGTACTTTTACATACTGGCAACTTCGTACTGGCAGCTTTACTCAAAAAGGTAAATAAGAATGAATTGGTTTTAACTACGTCTAGAAATGAATGCATTTAAAAAGGTAATAAGAATAAATTTGCTATTAACTACAATGAACATTATTGTTAATTTTTATTCTAGTACAAACGTATGCTAATTACTTTGTGCTTGTTCTTAAGTAACGAAAATGAAGTTCAAAGTTTTAATAGAACGAAAATATTTTCTGTTTGTCTTGACAGCATGAAAGAAATAATGCTGTAGTTTCTTTTATTTTATGCAAAATCGATATTTTTGAAGTGCTGTATATTTACCTTATAAAAAATTTATTTTAAATCTTTTCGCTAACTATGTGATTTCGTTCCAGCGGTATTTAATTGGAACTTTAATGTAAAAAGTTCTAACATTACTATTAATTTTTTTTTACTTTCCGTGACGGTAATTTTCCGTTGGTACAACTTTGATATTGCTAAATTCACACAAATTTTGTTCTCGTTATAAAAAATGAGTATTAAAAACTATAACCGGTATTTGTTTTATAAGAATTGAAACCAATCTTATCCGAATCTACTACTGCAAATATTCCATATCTACTTACTACTGTACTACTACACATATATTACGTACGTACCTATTACGTATTGGTATATACTCATCTAATATGTCTGTCACTACTATCGCTATATAAATATCGATATAAAATTAAAATTTATTTTGCTCGGAAAAATGAGATCTAAGGTTTTACTATGTTAGGAATAACCTTAATCTAACTTTTTAACGTTAAAAAGAATGTACATAATTATTTACGTACGTTACGTTACGCATGCACACATTCTGCCTTATAACAGTATAATGTCGATATGGGATTTTCAAAATATTTATAATTTTCATAAAATTATGTTTGAAATCATGTCCATTTGAAGTTTTTATCGTTCGTTTACTAAGTCAACTCGAATGAATAAATTATTTAACATACTTAAAAAAACTATTAAAATCAATCATCAATATCAAGAGAACAATGTAAATACCACTTTTCAATATGAGCATGAAAATAGTCATCTTGTTAGTCATCATTGTTCAATATGGATTGACTCAACACCTTGTCATGGGCAACCTGTTACTGAGCAGTCCTCTCAGGATAACGGATTAAATTCACAAGATGTCTTAAGTAATAGAATTTCTAGTTGTCAGTCGAACAACTTTGTTGACCCGACGCCTTATGATGAACCACTCGCTATCGAACAATCTTATCTTTTACCATCTTTAGACCATCAGAATAATTCGAACCAATTTATTGATACAGCCTATAATGATAATGAATCACTAAATCATTGTTCGAATTCGCAGGACACTTTATATGAGGCTTCGAGCTGCCAGTTAACTCAATTTTTGGATCCTGTATTTTGCAGTGAACAATCACTTAATGTACCTGTCGTTGAACAATCCTCTTGTCCAATATCTATAAATAATCAGTCAAACCTTCAAATCAATACATGTGAAGAGTCTTCAAACATTCAACAAGGTCAATTTATAAGTCTTAGCACAGGTCCGAATGTGAGTTTTCTGCATTCATTTACACTGGTGTTAGATTCATCAGAAGTTGATGACAGCGATGAAAGTTCTGAAACTATTAATAACAATGAAGGTAAGTAAATTATCTCTACAATATATGTTATTTAAAATTATATCCTTTGAACTAATCGTTTATAATATTCTATCAGATGAAAGCAATAATGTTGATGATTATGAATACGCTATGCGATTACAGCGAATCTATAATGAAGAATTAAATATAGGTAATGCGCAAGTGATAAGTAATTTTGAATATAATCATAATCAAGAGGGTTTGCATGAATGTAATATGCAAGTATATGATAACTTGGAAGAATCGAGCTTAGGTGAGCAAATAAAATTTTCAACATTTTTATGTATTCTTCTAAATCATTTTGATTTATATGCTATTATTTAAACCATCATTTAGTTACCAATTGTCCATCAAATATGAATGATGACAATAATGAATCTTGTGCTGTAATGCCGGTGCAAAATTGGCATTCATCAAGTGGATGGGATGAAGATTTAACTGAACAACCAAGCAATTGGAATGAAGAAATAAATGACTCATCATATAATTATAATGATTCACAAACGATCCGGGATGATGATGACCTAAGTTGGGGTTGGGACGTTGAAGTAAATGATTCACCAAACAGTTCAGATGATGATATGAATGAACAACAGGGTGAAAATTGGGTTACAGGTGAATGTCAAGGCGATAATTGGAATCTAGGAATAAATGATCCATCAAACAGTTGTAATGATACATCAACTGTCCAGGATGATGATGATTTAGGTTGGGGTTGGGGTGTTGAAATAAATGATTCAACAAGGTGTTCAGACAGTGATTTAAATGAACAACAAGGAGACAATTGCGACACTTGGATTGCAGATGAACATCAAGATAGCTGTTGGAGTACTGAACGTTCCAATAGTTGGTGGGATGAAGAAGTAAACGATACATCAGTTGGTTGGGGAGATGAAGGTAATTATGATGAAGTTTACATCAAGCTCTTAAATTTATTAGCATTGATGCAAATTAATACTTGATTTAATGGTGGTTTAAGTAAAACAATGCCATGGTTAAAGTCCTAAAATGTTATTAACATTTATGGGATTATTATTTACATATAAATTAATCTGTTGTATATTGTTTGGAGCTTCTTCTGTAAAAGACAAGTATTCCACATGTGATATAGTGCCTGAATTGCATATGCGAGATCTTATTTTCAGTCATGTACAAATTTAGATAGTAGTGACTCTTGGCCAGATTCAATTTCAGGCATTACAAATACAAAACATTCGTAACATAATATAAACGTTCAATATTATTGATTCGGTCAAATTGCAGATGCTTCTGAAATTATGGAGGTAAATGATGTGCCTTCAAACGATATAGGTATAGTTCTCATTTTTTTTGCCTTTGAAAACCAACTAAGCATGGAATATTTAATTTTAAAATAACATTCGTAATATCAATATTCAGAAAATTTTGATGAGACAGAACTGAGTGAAGGTATATATATTATTCTTTTAGCAATTAAAATTTTATTTATTTTAACGTTTCTCAAAAACTATTTAACAATTATTAGAAATGATTCCAAATGAAACTGTTTCAAAAGGTATTACTTTATGCTATTTGTTTACATGAATAATATTTCTAAGCGATATATTTGAATAAAATCTTTAACTTAGAATTTGGAGCAATTATTAGTGAATTCAGAAATAAACTAGTTCGAAAACATCCTTCTGCAAGTGCAAAGGTCATAGAACTTACATCTAGAAATCATTATATAATGTTTTCTGAATTCATTGATGCTATTAAGCAATTTGATGATAAAGATTTTATATACAAACCAAGAATTAAATTTGAAGCAGAGTATGTAAATTATATTATTCTATTGCGTTTATATATTTAGTTCAATATGTGAAATTTATAGTTTAATTATCTTTTATTTGTAAAAAGACCAGTTATTGATGCAGGTGGAGTATTCAATGATACTATGCGTCAAATTTTGGAGACATTTCTGTTATTGGAAAATCCTGAATATGGTGGTGATGGACATTTGTTTACTGGAGACAATTATAAATTGATTAGTTCGACCGCTCCAATTCATTTCATGGATGAACTTGATGTAAATATTTAAATCAAGACTTAATCTGTTATAGCGATTTAGTTTATATATAGTTTTTGTATTTAATTTTTTGTATTTAATTACTAACATTAATAATTTGTAATTATTTAATGTTTAGGCATTTGGTGATATTTTATTTTTGGCAATTATTCATGATACACCATTTCCTACAAATTTAGATATCATAATGCTCAAATATTGTTTAAACTTTGAGGACACCATTACTTTAAATGATCTTGAAAGGTTTAGTCCTTCAATATCAAAATTTGTTAAAGATATATTAAACGCAGAACCTAATACTGACTTATCTACTATTGTTGGGTTTGATGAATGGGCTGAGTGTAAAGGAATCTCTGTATGAAACTAAAATTATTTTTAAATTAATTGCATTGATTACTGTGCCATTTTATTTAACTATTTTATAACTAGTTCAAATTCATTTATTGTTTTTAATTTTTTTTTAGAAAATACAAAAACAAGTTTATTCACGATCAAAAGAAAACTTGGAGAAATTGGCAGAACAAATTTGTTATGATACGTTGATATATAATCGCATCAGTCAACTTGATGCGATAAAGCATAAATTAAATAAGTTTGGATTTTTAAACGTAATATTAACACATCTGTTTTCAAAAAAGTATTTTCATCAATTTTAACTTTATATTTACAATATATATATAGTTTCTAAAAACAAAGAAAGTCAAGATTGAACAGGTTAAAAATTATTTTTATCAAGAAATTATAACGGCCAATGATATTATTAAGAAATTATCTTTTAGCTCAGATTTAAATAGTAAACAAATAAAAATTATTTACTCGAAATAAGTAATTGATTCCGAGTAGGCAAGTGGTTTTATAACAGGGTTTATAAATATTACAATAATAATATCTACTTTTAAATCATTATAAATAGGTTTAAATAGTCACATATTAAAAAATAATCAAAAATTTCATCAAGCAGCTTTGAGCATTTTAAGCAAAATATGAACTATTGATAATATAAGACTAACAGAATTAACGCTAGTTATA